AAAAAAAAAAAAAAAAAAATTGAGGTTTTGATAGGTTAAGTGATGGGCTACCATCACAGAAACGCAAAGCAGAGAAGCAGGGATTCCAAGTGAGAGAGTAGACTCCACCACCTACCAGCAGTAAAGGGGAAACTCTCTTCACTCCCAAATTCTGAAACCTCCCTCCCAGGGGTAGGTCTCTGGGGAAGGAATCCTTTCATTGTTTCCAAGCACAGAGCCTTTCTTATAGGGAAAGAATCTAAGAAAAGCTTTACTGGGGCCCTTGAAATCTAATGAACTTTCAAGAAACTTCCCTTCCTCCCCACCATCCTTGTTTTAATTTAAAAGGGTCTGTTTTTAGGCGGCACCTGTGGCTCAGTGAGTAGAGCCCCAGCCTCATATACCGAGGGTGGCAGGTTCAAACCTGGCCCTGGCCAAACTGCAACAACCAAAAAAATAGCCAGGTGTTGTGGCAGGTTCCTGTAGTCCCAGCTGCTCAGGAGGCTGAGGCAAGAGAATCGCCTAAGTCCAAGAGCTGGAGGTTGCTGTAAGCTGTGATGCCATGGCACTCTACCAAGGGTGTCAAAGTGAGACTCTGTCTCTCACAAAAAAAAAAAAAGGGTCTGTTTCTAAGGAGGGCCACATTGTACCCCCAATCATTAGAGAATGAAACACCTTGGGCCTACCAACAAGCAACAGTCACCAACTAAGTGCGGCCCAGACATTCTCTGAGATAACACACCAAGAAAAATGGAATCTATATTGGTATTCACAGAAGGCCTTGGCCTTGGTAAATAAACTACTTGTCAGGAACAATAGAGGCAAACATTTCTTGTGGGCACTCACTTGAGTATGTTCTGTGAAGAAATCAGAGTCTTTCTTCTCCGGAGAGTGACTAGGAGCACTACTCATATTATCTATCCAAAGCTGGAAGGGAGAAGACACCTCTGAAACACAGGGCTCTGAAACTCCCACCTACCCTACTGCCCCAGTCCCAAAAAAAGGCCCTTACATCAGTGCCATGTCTAGCTAGGGCTGCACTCCCCAGCTGCCGGATCTTCTCCCGGTACATCTGGGCAGCTCGGCTGTTGTACTTGGTGTTGGCATCATTGGCCATACATCCATGTTGACGGAAAAAAGCTGTCTAGAGATCAGAGAAGACAGGAGAACGTGTTACGGGCAGAACAAAAATGTACTGGCTATAGGAAGCATCCCTTTTAACAGCCTAGTTATTACTTATACAAGATGATGTACACCCTTGACACCAGCAGTTACTCACAGAGGTATCTCAGACATTCCAGCAAAAAATACCTTGCAACCTTCCATCCTGAGACTCAACCCTGCCTGACTACATGTCACACTCACTCTCTCCTTCCTTCATCCAGCCAAGCTTACAAAACTCTATGTCTGTGGAGGCCTCAACTCCCTTAGCTTTTCCCCAGGAACATCTGTCCTGTTTAGTTTGAATCTGAAGCCCCTTTGAGAGGAGGTAAGACAATTTCAAAATTTAGAAAATTTCAAGATCAGAAAACCCTCTTAACAGAGAACTTGAGAGAGCCTCTGAGGAAGCCGTGCAAAGTTAGTACCCAGGCAGAAGAAAGGTGAGTGGGGGGGAGAAAGAAGGAGCTTTACCGCATTGGCATTCCCGCCGACCTGCATACACCTCAGCTGGAACCAGTTCCAGTTGGAATCCAACTCTGTGGACCTGTGTAAAAGGACTGTATGTAACCCTCCAGCAGGCTTCCCTGGCAGACACACACTAGTCATTTGGTCTCAGGCTGCTGTAGGCACCTAGGCACCCAGGAAACATTAGTCACCACCCCATTTCCTCCACAGTACTCTATGAAAGCTGTGCTCTTCATTAGTCTAAAGAGTACTAATTATTTTCCCAGATCTGAAAGGAGGTCGCATTATCTGGCACATATGGTTTTGGTTTTCCCCTTATGAATAGTCTCACTAAAGACATACTCGGCCAATAACATATCAGCAACAACAAGGTCAATGCAGGTAATTTTCTGCCCAATTTAACGCTCAGAGTCTCAAGTTTCACCTGTCAGAGAAGAAGGGAGTTTTACCCAGACGCAGAGACGTACTACCTATGAGGCAAGGGGCCCATACAGGCAGTTCCCTGTCGTAGGAAGGCTACCGGACCTTCGGCCTTGAAGTTTCAGACCCCGAATTCAGAGCGGTCAAAGTCAAGGCAGCCATTCTCCCGTACTGCCATGGCCAGCAAAGTAGAAACACAGCAACCTCGCGGAGACCCACCTGATGAAGCTGAGATGGACGCCCAGGGAGCGGTGCACCCCAGAACAGTCAATGCACAAGAAAACACCATACGTGATACTGGCCCAACTGGGATTCTTGGCGCCGCAGTCGAAACAGGCCTGGGTGAAGGAGGCGACGAGCGAATGGTCAGAGACCCGAGAAGAGGTCGGGCGCTTACAGCCCGAGGAAAAGGCCCACCACCGCCCTTCTCTCTCTCAGACCCCGGGGGAGCAAGAGATTTCCTCTCTGCCGGCACCAGACTCCGCGCACCCCCCGACTCATGTACCTTGTTGGTTGGAATTGCGCGAAGCCTTTTAAAAAGAGTCTGGATTTCGGTCTTGCTTGGCTCCGCCGCCATTTTCTCTCCTTCCCAGACACAACCGCGACGACGGATCCTGCGGCGGGCCAATCCACGGCTGGGAAGACTGGCTAACCCGGCCGGCCTGAGCAGGGCCCCGGCCAACCGAGGGGTGGGGTGATTTGGGACCTATCTAGACCAATCGGCAGCCGGCGGTACAGGAGCGACGACGTCAGCAGCCCCGGCCCCACGGCTGCCGCGAGAATAAACGCCGCGCAGCGGCGGGCCAATCCGGAGCGGGGGCGGAGCAACGGCTCGCGGGCCGGCCCAATCCTCCTCGGGAGCGTGCGTCGCCCCGACGTCGTGTACATCCAGAAGATGGAGACGCTTTCCACGCGGCGCAGGCCGCCTGAGACCCTACCTCCGGCCGGTTACCGATCGATGAGTAATGATTAACAGTCGGCCTGAACACTCCTTGCCCCACCGGGCTGAATGGGCAGACATACTGGCTGGCACAACTGGGCACCAGCCACAAGCCGCCCTGCTCGGCTAACACTACGCCTGATCGCGAGGAGGGTCCTTAAGTTCCAGAGCAGGCACCAAGCTGGAAAATCCTTGCCCAACTCCGGCCCTCTAACACAGGCTAGGCCTCTCTCCAGATGCCCTCTGAAGGCTGGCAAGAATGGAGTATCAATAAGACGCTGGCAGCGCCTGTAGCTCAGTGAGTAGGGCACCGGCCCCATATACCGAGGTTGGCGGGTTCAAACCCGGCTCCAGCCAAACTGCAGCAGAAATAGCCGGGC